TATAACATACCATTTTCTGAAAGTTGGGAAAAGGGCTTTGTCTGATTTAAGGGGCAAGGTCGTACCCCACTGGGTCAGCAGGTAAAAAAAAATCCACCTGCAATGCAGGAGATCCAGATTCGATCCCTGGGTTGGGAAGATCCCCACTCCAGTATTCTTGCCTGGGATATCCCATGCAAAAGGAGAGGACAGAGGAGCCCGGCGGGCTACAGTCTGTGGAGTTGCAAAGGGTCTGACACAACTGACTAAACACACGGACACATGGACACAGATGCACCTACATGCAGCTACCTAAGTTCTAGTGCCTCCCCTCGGCCTTGCTCTGCTGGGACACGCCCGCCTCTCCTCTGGCTCTGGCCTGGCCTGTGTGTCTGAGAGAAGTCCTGTTTCACTCCTGGTAACTCTTGGCACAGGCAGCCTGACTCACAGGATCAGGGGGCTCTGCGACCTCCTGGCTTTGGAGCCAAGTCAGAGTCAGATGTATTCCCTTTTGGAAGCCTGCACCTTTCTCATCTATAAAATGGACAAGAAATCTCTCTTTGAATGCTAGGTGAGGGTTTCTAAGACGGTGTGGATAAAGCCTAAAACCTGGCCTGTAGCAGGTGGCCTGTAGCTGCTAGTCCCACCCCTTCCCTAAGTGCAGGTGTCTGATCAGTTTCCGTGGGTCGGGCTGCATGTGTGGTAGTGGCATGCCCACACCCTTAGGAGCCTCAGATGCTGCCTTAGGAGACAGAATGATCCCTGACCTCAGGGGTTTTCCAGGTCCACCCATGGGTCATCCCATGCCTCTTCAGTCTCCATCAGCTGTTCCCTCCAACCCTGAGCCCCAGGATGTGTGCTTAGTCGCTCACTTGTGTCTGACTCTTTGCGACCCCGCGGACTGTAGCCTGCCAGTCTCCTTTGCCCATGCAGATTCTCCAGGCAAGAATACTAGAGTGGGTTGCCATGCCCTCCTCCAGGGGATCTTCCCCACCCAGGAATCAAGCTGGGGTCTCCCACACTGCAGGTAGATTCTTTACCAGCTGAGCCAGCGGGGAGCCCCAGGGGAACAGCCCCAATGGGAGGCCCCAGCTAGGGATGCCACCCTCAAATAGATCCTTCCAGCCCCTATAGAGCTCTTCATTCCCTACATGGGTTTGAACATGTTGCTGACTTTCTAGCTGGAGAAGATCCAACTTCTGTGAGGGAACCCTGGCATCCACCCCTCACCACCCCCCCACCCACTGCACAGCTGGGGAAAAGGCAGAGAGGGGAAGAGTCCTCCAGGGCACTCAGTGGAGTGGCTGGTGTGGGGAGCAAGAGAGCCGGACCACATCTGCCCCTGACGTGAGTGGCAGGCTGGCCCTCTGCAGTGCGGGTCTGACGGCGCAGCCGCCCCCAACGCCCTGGGGTTGGGAGGACATAGACAGGCTGCTGTGGGCTCTGCGCGCCATGGCCCGGGCACGGCTCTCCTCTGCCTGCCCACCTGCCAGCCTTCCATGTTCATTTCCTTTGTATTTATTGGGCCAATTTTGAAACTCTTGCCCTTGTGGGAAGCCCTTCGGGGGGCAAGGATCCAAAATAAAACGCTGATTAAAATGTATAAAACTCTTCTCCTGGGCCGCTGCAGGAGTAACCAGTGGGATTGGTGGTGCCGGGGCAGGCAGGAGCAGCGTGTTGCTCACTCAGCAGGTTTGGTGAACCCCTCAGACACCAGCCTGCCAGCATCCCTTGATGACAGGGACCCCGCGGGGGTGTTAGATGGGGAGACCAGGCCCAGTGTGCTGTGCCAGCGTGCGAAGCCATCTTAGCCCCTCGAGGCTTCAGTGTCCTCGTCTTCCAGGACAGCCGCACATAAAAGGTGAGGGAAGAGGCAATTCGGAGGATGTGTCTTTCTGTAACTGTCCATTCCTTTGTGGGTATACCTGCCAGGCCTGCCACCCAGGCAATACTGACCAGCTTTTTATCAACGTATTTGAATCCCTCAGGTGTCCTCTTTGTTCAGTGGACCTGCTCCAGGGTCAGCCTCATCAGAGTGACTTCAACCCCTGCAGAAAATCTCTCATGCACACACAGTTCCTTCCAGAGAACATTCAGTGGAATCTTTTCTGTGCCACACCTTGACCTGAGGCTGCAGACACACCATCTGCCCACAGGCACTTCACTGTCTAGCAGGTGGGATAAACCCCATGAGGGTTTGACCCAGGATTAAACAAGACACAGGAGAGGTGCCAAGTGCTGAAGCTTTGGAGCATATTTCCCTCTTTGCCCAGGTCACTAGGAAGCTCCAACCTTTTATCATTAACAGGATTTTGTGGCATTCTTTCTTTACTGGCTTGTCTCCTTTAACTTTATCTTCTTATCTTGTAACATCATTTTGCTGGCCATTGGCTCAAATCATTTTTAGAATGAGATGTTATATACCAGTTACATAATGTCATTACTAATAAATGTAAGGTGCTTCAGAGTTGTGGGCAAGAGATTTCTGATTGAGTAGATCAAGGATGGCTTCATGGAGGAGGTGGCCTTTGGGGGTGGATGTCACAAAGGCTTCTGGGTCAGTGAGGCTGGGAGAGATCTCCAAAAGGAGCTGGCTGAGAGGCAGGAATGCACAGGATAAGACTCGGATACCCGGGTGACTTCACTGGGGGGAATGGTGGGAGAGGAGGGAGATGGGTAGGTTGAGACAAGGTGGTGCGGTCTTCAATGCCAGATTCTTGTCTATATGATGGTCTTGCCAACATCTCAATGTACGCTGTGCACTCACTGCCCCAATTCTCTTTCTTTGGCATCCTCTCAAGCAGCCCCCACCCCACCCACCAGCCCAGCCCCTGAGCTGGGTGCTAAAAGTCCTATTTACCTCTCCCGGTCCCCAGGCTCACACCACGCCAGCCCCAGCTGCCGTCCCAATTACTTATTGATCGTCTGTCAGGATGTTTGCTTTTCTGGTGGGTCACTGGAGCGTGTGTGACTGTGGAAAATGGCCTGATTGGAGTGGGTGGGGGAGGCCAAACCACAGAAAACTCCAGAGGGAGAATGAGAGGGGATGAAGGAAGCGGAGGCAGTGGACAAAGCCCTTGAGAATAACAAAACTTTGAAGATTTCATAACATGTCAGTGACACTAGGAACCCTCTCTGGTTAATCAGTCACTTAGTCGATCAACAACCAGGGAGTGCCTGTCAGTCCTGGGAGACCCTGGAGCACTGGGAAGTGGGTGGTGTCATTGAAGTCTGACAGACCAGAGCTCTGGTCCCCAATCTACCTCCTCGACTGGCTGGGTGTCCTTGGGCAGCCGCGAGCTCTCCAAGCCCCAGTTGCCTTAAGGGTTGAAGTGTGGGTGACAAAACCTGTAGCTTTAGAAGTGGAGGCTGTGGGCAGGTGTGGGGAGGAGCTTGGAGGGATGGGAGAAGGCCCTGAGCTGGGGCAGGGTGATGGGATCCTCCCGGCCGGAGCACTCCCTTCCTGCAGTGAGGCCCCCTGAGGGCCACGGGTATGGGCTATGTGGATGGCAGCAGAGCCCCAAAGGTGCAGGCTGGGTGGGATCTTCACCCCACGAACAAAAGGGCTTCAGCTTGGACCCCAGAGACCATCTGGTCTAACCTCTATTGTTCAGGGAGTCCATACTAGTCCTCCCAACCCCCTAAGTACTCTACTGGGCCAATTTCCCCTGGGGTGGAACAGAGATAGAGGATGGAAGAGCGTTCTGGGCAGAAGTGGGAGCAAGTGGCCTCTGAACCCACGAGGAGAGAGTAACTGTGTGTGGGGACACATGCAGCCTGTCCTCAAGCGGATCTCCCTAGTCACCACCACCCAAGTCCTGCACATTCCTTGGGACCCAACTGTAAGAAGCCTCCCATCCCCAGTGCTACAATGTGGGGCTGTCTGTGCCATCCTGGGCTGTGGGGGTCTGACTGCTCCCCCATCAGATAGGACCCTGGTACTCAGAAGACAGTGATTGGAACCTGGAGAGACAGACAGATGAAGCCTGGTTGAGGGGGGTGGGTGTTCTTTGGAGGGAAGTACACTGCCAACTGGGCAACAGAAAAAGCTTCTTAGGGCAGTGTACTCAGTTAGGCCTTGCAAATGGGGTTTCCACACATGAGGGAGGGGCATTCCCGGAGGAAAGAGGAGCAGGAGCCTGAGCTCAGCAGCCTGCCTGGGTGGGTCGCCATGGGGACCTGGAGGACTGTGAGAGTTGCAGAGGTTCCTTGGGGAGGCCTCAGGGCTGGGTCCTGGCTTTCTGGAAGGGGGTGCCCTCCACTGATCCAGAAACCCCATGGGGAGCAGACTCGCAGACAATGGCAGGAACCACTGGGTATGCTGGTTGCCCAGGGTTCTTGGCTTTGGGCTCAGCTCATTGTTGATAGGGAGGGGGCCATGGTCTCTGTGCCTGGGAATGTTCAGGCTGAAGGCCGAGAGGGTGGACCCCAGTAGCCTCAAAAGCCCTTTCCCAACTGGGACCCAGATGTGCTGCTCTGTTGGCCATTCCTAGAGGCCTCAGCCTTTGAGCCCCTTTGATCCCCTCTGTGAGCCCCGAGGGCAGCTCAGCAGGTCTAGCTTTATCCCTGATGAGCACCAGGGGAAGCTGAAGCTCAGGGTGCCAGGTGGGGGGTGGGATGCACGCTGGGAGTCCCACTGCCTATAAATGTAAAATGAAAAGGAGGTGGATACAGCTTAGGGTGCCAATTCCAGGATCACCAGAAGTGACCTCACCCGATCCATGAAGCCACTGGATCCCAGGGATGTGGGACAGTCCTTTAGAAGGGCTCTAGGCAGGGTAAGGAGCAAGGAGGAAACAGCATGGGGTGGCAGGAGTTCCTCTGGCCTCGATATCTGGACCTCACTGTGTTGACAATCCCGACAGGTGTCATACGCCACTCTGGACCCCTGCCTCTCTCTCTGGGTCAGGGACATCTTGACGGGGCAGGAGGGCACAGGGGCACACAGGGCTCGGGGCGGGGGACCAGCGATCACTGTCCTCTAACCACCTCCTCTGTGCTGTGCTTGCTCCTGGCCGCAGGTGAGCGAGAGGATGCTGGCGGGGGGCGCGAGGAGCATGCCCAGCCCCCTCCTGGCCTGCTGGCAGCCCATCCTCCTGCTGGTGCTGGGCTCGGTGCTGTCAGGATCGGCCACGGGCTGCCCACCCCGCTGCGAGTGCTCCGCCCAGGACCGCGCGGTGCTCTGCCACCGGAAGCGCTTCGTGGCGGTGCCGGAAGGCATCCCCACCGAGACCCGCCTGCTGGACCTGGGCAAGAACCGCATCAAAACGCTCAACCAGGACGAGTTTGCCAGCTTCCCGCACCTGGAGGAGCTGGAGCTCAACGAGAACATCGTGAGCGCCGTGGAGCCTGGCGCCTTCAACAACCTCTTCAACCTCCGGACGCTGGGGCTCCGCAGCAACCGCCTGAAGCTCATCCCCCTGGGCGTCTTCACCGGCCTCAGTAACCTGACCAAGCTGGACATCAGCGAGAACAAGATCGTCATCCTGCTGGACTACATGTTCCAGGACCTGTACAACCTCAAGTCGCTGGAGGTTGGCGACAACGACCTCGTCTACATCTCCCACCGAGCCTTCAGCGGCCTCAATAGCCTGGAGCAGCTGACGCTGGAGAAATGCAATCTGACCTCCATCCCCACGGAGGCGCTGTCCCACCTGCACGGTCTCATCGTCCTGCGGCTGCGGCACCTCAACATCAATGCCATCCGGGACTATTCCTTCAAGAGGCTGTACCGGCTCAAGGTCTTGGAGATCTCGCACTGGCCCTACCTGGACACCATGACTCCCAACTGCCTCTACGGCCTCAACCTGACGTCCCTGTCCATCACACACTGCAACCTGACCGCTGTGCCCTACCTGGCCGTGCGCCACCTGGTCTATCTCCGCTTCCTCAACCTCTCCTACAACCCCATCAGCACCATCGAGGGCTCCATGTTGCATGAGCTGCTCAGGCTGCAGGAGATCCAGCTGGTGGGCGGGCAGCTGGCTGTAGTGGAGCCCTACGCCTTTCGCGGCCTCAACTACCTGCGCGTGCTCAATGTCTCCGGCAACCAGCTGACCACGCTGGAGGAGTCGGCCTTCCACTCGGTGGGCAACCTGGAGACCCTCATCCTGGACTCTAACCCGCTGGCCTGCGACTGCCGGCTCCTGTGGGTGTTCCGGCGCCGCTGGCGGCTCAACTTCAACCGGCAGCAGCCCACGTGTGCCACGCCCGAGTTCGTCCAGGGCAAGGAGTTCAAGGACTTCCCCGACGTGCTCCTGCCCAATTACTTCACCTGCCGCCGCGCCCGCATCCGGGACCGCAAGGCCCAGCAGGTGTTCGTGGACGAGGGCCACACGGTGCAGTTCGTGTGCCGGGCGGATGGCGACCCACCACCCGCCATCCTCTGGCTCTCGCCCCGCAAGCACCTGGTCTCAGCCAAGAGCAACGGGCGACTCACGGTCTTCCCTGACGGCACGCTGGAGGTGCGCTACGCCCAGGTACAGGACAACGGCACGTACCTGTGCATCGCGGCCAACGCGGGCGGCAACGACTCCATGCCTGCCCACCTGCATGTGCGCAGCTACTCGCCGGATTGGCCCCATCAGCCCAACAAGACCTTCGCCTTCATCTCCAACCAGCCGGGCGAGGGAGAGGCCAACAGCACCCGTGCCACCGTGCCTTTCCCCTTCGACATCAAGACCCTCATCATTGCCACCACCATGGGCTTCATCTCTTTCCTGGGCGTCGTCCTCTTCTGTCTGGTGCTGCTGTTTCTCTGGAGCCGGGGCAAGGGCAACACGAAGCACAACATCGAAATTGAGTACGTGCCCCGCAAGTCGGACGCAGGCATCAGCTCCGCCGACGCGCCTCGCAAGTTCAACATGAAGATGATATGAGGACGGGGCGGGGGGCAGGGACCCCCGGGTGCGCCGGGCAGGAGGAGGGGCCTGGCCACCCTCCGCGGGTTCCCCAGCCCTTCCCACCTCCTCCCGACCCCTCCGCACACACACTTTTTCTCCCTCCCACCCCGTCCCCTGCTGCCCCCGCCGGCCCTCACCACCTGCCCTCTTCCTACCAGGACCTCAGAAGTCCAGGCCTGGGGACCCCACCTACACAGGGGCACTCGTTGACAGACTGGAGCCGGAAGCTGACGAACCAACTTGGTGCGGCACAGTCAATAGTTCAATAAAAAAGTTACGAACTTCCTCTGTAACTTGGGTTTCAATAATTATGGATTTTTATGAAAACTTGAAATAATAAAAAGAGAAAAAAAAGCTATTTCCTATAGCTAGTCGGAATGCAAACTTTTGACGTCCTGATTGCTCCAGGGCCCTCTTCCAACTCAGTTTCTTATTTTTTTTCTCTTCCTCCTCCTCCTCTTCCTCCTTCCTCTTCTCTTCCCCTGTGGGGAGGGATCACTCAGGAAAACAGGGAAGGAGGTTCCAGCCCCACCCGCCTGCCTGCCCACCCTGCCAGGGCGGTCCCCAGGAGCAGGTTGGGTGGTGGGTCTGGGCCCAGCTCTGGGCTGGCTGTTTGCAGAGAGCGGGTGGAGGGGACAGGGCTGCCCAGTGGGGATGAGGGCCTGTCTGCTGAGCTGCCAGGCAGCACTACTGCCGGGGGCAGGGGGGCCTGGCTCGGGTGTGGCTGAGACTCTGGACAGGGGCTGGGGTCCTCTGGAGGACAGCACAGTCAGTGGAGAGAGCCGGGCGCTGAGGCCTAACTCTGGTCCCAGCTCTGCTGCCGACTTGCTGTGTGGCCTCGAAAAGGTCATCAACCCTCTCTGGACCTCAGCCTCCACATCTGTACAAATGGAAACGCTACTCCCCGCCCTGCCTACCTCACAGGGCTGTTGTGAGGAATTGATGAGATGATGTATGTGAAACACTTTGTAACCTGTAAAGCGCTGTGCACATGTGTGGGTGACTGTTCTCATTATGGTCATTATTATCTCACTGTGGGGGGGGCAGGGCTCCTAAGGGATCTCCATGGGGTCAGGGTTGGGGGCATGCCAGGGGTGGGCCACCTCCATGGACTTCCAGAGGCTTTGCCCAGGACAGCTGCCCAGCGGTGACCATAAGCTTTGCTGGATAGCTGGGGCTCTAGACCCCCAGGGGAGTCCTAAGCCCATGAGCATCATCACTTCCACCCACTCTGGTGTTGGGTCCCCCCAGGCAGAAGCCCCTTGCAGCTGACCTGGACCTATCCAGGGACTGGGTACACCATCTCTTTCCAAGCCTTCTTTCCATAAGCATTTATCAAATGCCTGCTTATGCCACTTCCCGTGTAGAGCACCAAGTCTTTGAGGCTGGGAAATGCAGTTCTGGGGCTGTCCTGAGGACTGCCTGGACCCAAGTCACCACCCAAGTCTTGCCTCTCTTCCACCAGGCTTTACTCTGAGCTTACCCTGGGGCTTTGAAGGGTTCCCAGTTTGGGATTGGGATCCACCTGCATGTGAGCTGATCAGGAGAGTCAGAAGCGCCCTGTTCATTCACACCAAACCGAGACACTCCAAACTCAACTCTAGAAAGGGCTCTTCTGGGAGACAGAAGTGCGAAGAGCCAGGCAGGTCACCTTGTAACTTTCCCAGAATCCACGGGCTCGAGAAGCTGGGGCAGTAGCTCCTCCTGCAGACCACATACTCACCCCCCACCTCTGTTGGACAGGGAGGGGCCCCAGGTTCGGAGATTATTGCCTTCGCCTCTCCAAGTTTCCCCTTTCTCCTCAGGTACTCCTTGGATTGCACCCCACAGTAGGCCCAGGGTGGCCCTGCTGCCCATTAACCCTCAGACTAGGGGAGAATCCAGCGATGCAGGAACCCACAGGCACAGGCTTAGCTGAACTTGGGGGTGAGGGGAAGCAATAGACAAGTCAGCCTTTGGCAACAAGAAACTTCCAGAATGCAGCTCCTCCAGTCAGAGCTCCTCCTGGGGTTCACACCCCCCCCCCACCCAAGCTGGCATGAACTAGGTAGCAGCATGCCTGGTGAAAGTGAAGGTGAAAGTTGCTCAGCCGTGTCTGACACTTTACGACCCCATGGACTGGGGTCCACCAGGCTCCTCTGTCCATGGAATTCTCCAGGCAAGAATACTGGAGTGGGTAGCCATTCCCTTCTCCAGGGCATCTTCCCAACCCAGGGATTGAACCCAGGTCTCCTGCATTGCGGGCAGATTCTTTATGATCTGAGACACCAGGGGAGCCCAACGGCATGCCTAGCAACTTCTAAACCAAGCTTCTGGTGGGATGACAGGGTGAGCAGAGTCTGGCATGGAGTCAACACTCAGTCACTCATTCATTCAATTTACAGACATTCCCAAGAGCCGGCTCTGCTCCAGGCTCCCAGCTGGTATGGTCTTTGTACACTTGTCCACATCTCCCAACCACCATCCTAGACTGTCCCTGGCTCTGGGGAAGCCTCAAGCCCTCTGAACTATGATTTTATCTCTGAGAAGAAATAGGATCCTCTCTCTCTCTAGGATCCTAGGATGTTGGTGCGGGAAAGGTGGCTGGTCCCTGGGGGACCTGGGGCAGCCTAGACTAGCGATGATAAGACTCTGAGGTTTGAGGTCAGGTCTGAGTTTGAGGTCCTATTCTAGTACTTACTAGCTGTTTGGATTGTTTCTTAACCCCTCTGAGCTTCTTGGTCTTCTCATCTGTAGCATAAAGACAATCTTATGCAGGTCGTTAGGAGGTGAAATGAGGGAGCATAGGTATATTTGTTGAGTGATGTAGTGCCTGTGCTGTGGTAGGTCACTTCAGTCATGTCCAACTCTTTGGGACCCCATGGACTCTAGCTAGCCAGGCTCCTCTGTCCATGGGGATTCTCCAGGCAAGAATACTGGAGTGGGTTGCCATGACCTCCTCCAGGGGATCTTCCCAACCTAGGGATCGAACCTGGGTCTCTTGCATCTCCTGCATTGGCAGGTTGGTTCTTTACCACTAGCGCCACCTATGTAGTGCCTGGCACTCAGTAAAACCACTGCCAACAGTGGGGATGATCATTACTGTTGAGTCCAACTCTGCTGATGAGCCAGGACCAGAGAAGGTGGGAGCTTAGCCAAAGTCACACAACTTCTCAGTAACAGCACCAGCTTTGGAAGTTCTAGAGCCACAGACTTCTTAGCCTGACCCAGGGCTTCTCAAGACCAGGTCTGGGGACCCCCATCTGGCAGGAGACAACTTTGGGGAGGCCAAGGGGAGGGAGAGGAGTTGTTGAACATGGTGGGCAGCATGTATACAACAAGAGGCTAGTGGTCTCACATAAGGCTCAAGAACCCAGGAGCCTTATCCATCTCCAGAGAGACCAGAGCGCAGGCTCTCCGTCACCCCAAACCTGATGCACTGACAGACACTGTCTGCATGCAAAAAGCAGCCAGGGGATTGTTAGTTAACCCATCTGGGGTTCGGGGATCCCTGGGGCCTCACCAGGTTCTGGTAAGAGCAGGACCAATGTCTTCTTGGCTATTGGGAAGGAACTGGACCCCTGAGGAAATTCAGGACATGGGAAAATTGTGAGGTTGTTTTCAGATGGGGGAGAGAGTCAGTTCAGGGGAATGTGAGCACCCTGGGCTGGGGGACTGGGTTGGCCCAAGCAAAAGAACCTGGACACTGGGAAAAGTCCACGCTGGGAGCTCGGCAGCCTAGGTTTAGTGTGGCCCTTTCCTAACCATGGGACCTTCACCTAAAGAAGACTGAGCTCAACTGCTGAAAATCCTGAGATTTAAGGTGGAATAGCATGGAATGCCAGGCTGGAGGGGCTACTTTCTCCACAACCTCACAGCCTCCAACAGAGAAAGAGTAGGAATGGATACACTCACCGCATGGCCCTAGTCTGCCTCAGGCCCAGTGGGGTTGTGGGCTCAGAGTGTCCTTCCTCATCAAGCCCTATAGGATACTGGCTGCTCTGCTCACGTTTCACCCTGGGTCCAAGCTACTGGGGAAAAGGCAAGATACTGAATCCTGAGAGTTTAGCCTGCTTCCCAGAAGACCAAGGCCAGAGACAGCTTCCAGCAGGAGACAGCATACCATAAAGAGAAGGGGTGATAAGACTGGGAGCCTCCCCTTGGACAAGCAAGTGGATTGGGCCAAGGATAGCATTGAGCAGGGGGAGTATTAGAGGGAGCAGCAAATGCTATGCCCCCCCAAACCCCGACACCAGTGTACCCCTCAGAGATGGAAAATAACCTGCCTAGAATCACTCAGCAGAGTGGTGTTTGGGGCATGGACTTTGGAGTCAGCAGACCTTGGTTCAAACACCATCTCAGGTGTGGCACCGGTGTGGTGTACAATAGGACCACTTTTATCAGCATGATATCGTTATGGACAGGCAGAGAAGTGGTGGTTGAACTACTGTGTGGGGAACACGATGGGGATCCCAAAGAGCTGGAACACCAGTGGGGTTGGGGTAGAAACCAAACCTGGTCATATCCTCTGATTTGCCACTGGAGGCTTAGGGCCCCATGTGGGGAGGGTGGTAGCAGACTCTAAGCTCTCACCCCTGACTGCCCAGGATAGAAAAACAGTGGTCAGAGGAGCAGTATAGACCCTGGGCAGCTATTAAAGAGTCCCAGGGGACCTTGAGCCTTGAACTCAGGACCTGAAGTCATGGGTCGTGAGGTCCCAGGAGCAAGGTCAGAGCAGACCAACTGGAGTGAAGTGATTTATTGGGGCCTTCACAGAACCTGCTTCCACGGTCGGTCAGCTTTCCTGCAGCTCTCCCCTACTTGATGTCCTCTGATGACATGACAGCCTGCACAGGGTTGAAAGTCATCCTCAGCTCCCATTCCAAAATTCAGCTTTAGCAGCTTTCATAATCTTCCTTGCTAGGTAAGATCTCTGATCTCTTCATTCATAGTCTCCAGAGGAAAAAAATCTGATTGGTCACCGGCCAGCCAATGTA